GGTATGATCGCAGGATGTCAGGGCCAGCATACTGTGAATTCGACCAAAGACCGCAACGTATAGCAAATCATTGTAATATTTTCCAAAACCCATCATAGAAAAACAACTGAGAAAGCATTCACTGTAATACTTGGTAGTGCTCAGAAATCCAAGTCCTCAGTCTCAAACATGGCGTCATCTTGGGCTCGGGGGGGGGCAGGTGTGGGACAGGGGAGGTCGGGGGAGGTCGGGGGGAGCAGAGGGGCATGGCGGTCGGGGCTTTTAAATCCGACTTTGGCGCTGGGACCGTGTCCGTAGTAGAAACGGGTCGTGGGAGTAATAGTGTGACCTGTGAGGAGGGGAGTAGTTATGACTTTTTCGTTTTTAATTTTTAGAAGTTTCTGTCGCGGGTGTCCTCGCCCTAGGTGGACCGTGAATTCGGGTTAGACGGAGCCCAAGTGGGCCACAGGTCCCTACATTCACTCACAGCGGCCCCGGTCCCAACTACCTCAAAGACGGAGCCCAAGTGGGCCACAGGTCCCCACCTTCACTCGCAGCCGCCCCGGCCACAACTCCCTCAAACGACGCTTTCCGCTGCCCTTCACTCCACCGTCACTTCGACCCCATTTTTGCATCCTCGTCGCCCGGGCACATCAAAAAAATCTCACGTCATCTCGCGCTGTAAGCCCGATGACGTCAGGCCGTCGCCCCAAAAACCCGACTAAGCCTCCGCAGCGTGAAACGGTCCGCCCACGCCCAGGCTCACCAGCGCAAACCCGAGCACGCCGTGCATCGCCATGTTTGCCGCGGGCGGCACCTCGAACACGGTGGCGGCGGCGCCCGCCGTGCAGACGAGCGCGAACGCCGTCGGCCCGACGAGCGCCTTGCGGAGCAGCATCCACACGCCGGCGAGGATCAGCCCCGCGGCCGCCGCGTTCGTCCCCTGCAGCACCGTCTGCGTCGTGCGCATCTTGCGCGCGCGCTCCCAGAACGGCAGCAGCCCGATCTGCAGGAGCACCCCCGGCCCGAACAGCCCCAACGACCCGCACACCGCCCCGCGCCACGACAGAATCGCCGCCCCCAGGAACACCGCAAGGTTGAACATCGGCCCCGGCACGCACCCGAACAGCCCGAACCCGGCCAGGAACACCGACGTCGGCAGCAGACCGGACTCTACAAACTCGCTGCGCCAACGCCCCATGCCGGGGAAGCATCGCGTGAGAGTGAGACGGAAGGACCCGAGAGTTAGAATCAGCGGCACGCAACACAAAACAAAACAAAAAAAAATGGGTGGTGACATACTTGAGGAGCATGGGCACGACAACAACGCCACCGCCGAACACACACAGGCCGATGCGCCAGAAGATCTTGAGTAGCCTGACGGCCAACTGGTTCGCGGGCAACAATGCGATGACAAGCGTGAGGATAGCGACGAGAGCTAGCAGTGCCGCGCCCGTGGCCGGGGAGACCTTGCTATCCCACGCCTCCAGCTGCGGCTGAGTCTCGGTCTCGGGGTCGCGGCCCGGCCAGAAGGCGGTGTACATGTAGAACAGGGCGCCGGCGCCGGCGAGAAGCAAGATGAAGACCCAGCTGGAGGTCTGCGGAGGGATGGTGACTGCGACGAACATGGCGAGGAGGGTGATGGTCATCTTGACG